GAAGAAAAAAAAAATCACTCTAGTTTTATTGAGTTTTTTTATTCAGTAGAAATGTTGCTCAGTTGGAGTTTTATTGAGTAATTTTATTGTATTCATTCGGAATTTTGCTCAGTTGAAGTTTTATTGAGTTTTTACATGAAGCATTTAGTTTAGGTATTAAGAGAGTTTTCAAAGTACATATTAGTTTTGAAGTATATAGTTTTTTTTAAATAGCAATATTACTAAGACAAGAGTTAGTTTTGTATTACTTACCTAGTTTTTTCTGTCTATTTTCCTTTACTCCTTTTTTGTTGAGTTTTTTTGTATGAGATTCCAGTTTTTACACTGTTTATCATATTTCTCTTTTTTCATACAGTTTATCGCGTCTCTTTTTACTGGAATTTATTAGTTTAGTAGCGATTTCCGAATTTTTTTTATTTTTTGCACGCTTTGATCGGCCAATTATCAATTTTCTTTATTGATTTGATTAGCTTTGAATTCGTTTTATAAAAAGTATTGGCATTGCAAAGCTTACTTTTATAATGTAAAGATGGTTTACGATCTTCGTTGATTTATTTCTTAATTTAATGATTTGGTACGTCTTGTCCTTATTGCTGACACCGGAAGAGAGAGCGACCAGCAAAGTTGGCTGCTCTTTCGGTACCGGACGTTTTGTACATCTTATTTCTAAAAATGACAGCTACCGGGTGATACATATAAACTTATTTTAAATATTTAAGAATACAAGTAACATTACATCTCGGCCAATCTGACTGATGATTGACCTCAATCAGCTGACATTTCTTGTTGAGGTTGTGTGACCAGTTGCTGTTGGTGATTGGAGGTATCTTTATTCCTGTTGGTGGGTGAAAACCATTTGCGAATTTTTATGGCTTCAACAACGCCATCATATGGTAAATGTGTCAATTGGCAATTGTCTATATCTCTGATAACATAACGGTCCTTTGGCAACACTTTATGTATAACATATGGTCCTCTGTATTTCTGAATAAGTTTCTTATTGGTTCCAGCTATGGTGACAGTGTGTCTTATAACTACAAAATCTCCTACGTAGTAAGTCTTGGCGGGGACACTTTTTTTTAAGAAGTACTGTTGGTTGTATTCCTGAGATCGTTCTATGTTTCTTAAGGCATTTTGTCGGTCTTCCCTAAGATTCCTAGTGTCTTCATCTAACAATTTTTCTTCTATACATTCCGTAAGTTCATCTACGACGCAGCCCCGTTGATTTACTCCGAAAAGCAAATCACTTGGCGTATGTTTGGTCGTACTATGGACAGTGTTATTCATTGCGTATTCTATTTGAGACAATTTAGCGGCCCAATCCGAATGTTCCACCGGCTCAGTCAATTTACTTAGCATTGCCTTGAGAACACGGTTGACCCTTTCCACCTGCCCGTTTGCTTGTGGTGACGCTACTGCAACTTTAACATGACTTATGTTCCTTTTTAGTAGAAACTCACTGAATTCAAGGGAGGTGAAACAAGTTCCCCGGTCAGTTATAACCCGTCGTGGACGACTGTAGTAGCTGAAGTACTTATCTAGTGAGCAGCACACTTCCTTCGTACTCGTAGAATTCACTGGATATAATTTTACAAATTTCGTGAAGGCATCTATAACGAACAGAATGTGCTTACGTTTTGACCTAATTGCTGGTAGAGGACCAAAGTGATCTAAATGGAGAGTGTCGAATGGAATCGGTTTTTTAGGGATACTAAAGAAGTTATGCTCATTGGAACGAGCAGGAGCAGAATATACGATGCACTTGATGCAATTCTGAATTAATCTACGAATTTTATCTTTCATATCACTGAACCAGTAGGTTTTTCTTATTTGATTGTAACATTTTTCTGCTCCTAAGTGGCCAATTTTCTCGTGTGTAATCCGGATGACGTTTGCTTCCATCTCTGAAGGAACACATAACATTATTTTTTGGCCAATCCTACGACATACTAAGCCATCAACCAGTTCATATCCTATTACTTCTCTCTTCTCTAATTCACTCATAAGTGCTTTGAGCTTTTCATCTCGGTTCTGGGCAATTTGGATCTGAACATCCAAATCATCCAGATTTATAGCAGCAACTAACATACACTTGCTAACCGAGGACCGAGGCTTCACTGTATTTGAAATTTCATTTGCTTCATGTTTTACAATTGGGTTGATACCATTTTCCTTTCCTAATAACGGGCTTCTACTTAAAGCATCTACGAGCCCAAGATTTGTTCCAATCCTATGTTAAATAGAACAGTCAAAATTTTCCAACTCGAGTGCCCATCGGGCTATTCGCGGGTTAATTTGCTTTTTATTTAAAGTCATTGTCTATGAATTGCAGTCTGTAATAATTTTAAATGGTATGCCTTCTAAATAGATTCTAAACCTTCGGAGAGCATATATGATTGACAATGTTTCTAGCTCAAAGCTATGATACCGCGACTCGGCCGGTGTGGTTGTTTTAGAAAAGTATGCTATTGGATGAAATTTGCCGTCATCCTGTTTTTGTAACAAAACAGATCCAAAGCCCTGACTACTTGCATCGCAGTGAAGTTGTGTTTCGCGTTTGCGATCATATATCGCTAGGAGTGGGGCACTAACTAAAATATTTCTTAGGTCCTTGAACGCTTGTAAACAGTCTTCCGAGAAGATGAACTCTGCTTCTTTGCGCAGCAAATCCAGGAGAGGCTTAGCAGTTTTTGAAAAAGAAGGTACAAAATTTACGGAAGTAGGAGAATAGTCCGATACAAGAACGAAGTTCTTTTTGGTTCCTTGGGATTGGGTAATTTGCAATTGCTTTAACATGGGATCTGCATGGTTGTATCCCCGACGGAGTGACAAGGTACCCTAAATACTCGATTATGTTGTAACAAAACTTGCATTTCTTAAGCTTAAGTTCCAAATTCTTTTCGTAAGCTCTGTTAAGCTCTTTTTCTAGGGTCTTGATATGGCATTCAAAGTTGTTAGAAGCTATTAAGATGTCGTCAATGTATACAATAATTTCCCTCGCATCTATCATGTCGCGGAAAATGTTATAAACGAATCCTAAGGTATTCGAATTGACCGTGCGGTGTAATAAAAGGTGTTAGCGGAATAGAGTCCTCATGCATCACTAATTGATTGAAACCATCTTTCAAGTCCAGTAGCGTAAACCACTTTTTCCCTGACATATATTCAATAAAGTCATCTATAAGAGGCAATGGGAAGTTGTCCCTAACAGTTTTCTTATTGAGGGTTCTGTAATCTATACACATACGTGTGTCGCCGTTCTTTTTTTTCACCAGAACTATAGCAGAAGCATACGGGGAGTTGCTAGGCCGGATAATTTGCCGCTTAATTAAATCATCAGTGATCTTTTGAACCTCTTCCCTGTCTTTAAAAGATAATCTTCTCGGCAAGCAGTAAAAAGGAGTGTCGTTAGTTGTTCGGATTATCATTTTATAGTCATAAGGTTTCTTATCGATTTCTGAGGGCGCCAAATATGCATTATTTAATACTTCCCTAACAGCGTTTCGCTCACATTCATTCAAGTTGGGTCCTATATCTATTTCTGACTGAAAAACACTTTCGTCTATTGCACCTATTTCTTTCACTTTCGCGTCAAACGAATTAGCTCCATTATCACAATAGCCGTCCGTCTCCCCTAAAGTTTGTTTCATGGCAGATTCTTGAGCACATTTTCCATATGTTTCATTTAATATATGTTCATCACAAAGCGATTTATTACTACAGTCACCATCAGCAGTTTTATTAATAATCGAATCAGATGTGTAAGGTTTCAATTTCTCTTTAATAAATTCATTTCGTTTAGAGAGTACATTTTTAACATATTTGTTTTGTTTTTCTTTGTTATTAAATTCATTTACATTGTGATTAATTTTTATAAAGTTAATATTAAATTTTATCATAAAGTCTTGACCAAGGATCAACGGTGTGGTAAGTGATTCATCTGGTACAGTTATAAAGTTCATAGTTTTAGTTGTTCCGCGAAATCTTACTGCACATAATATTGCGCCAAACGAGTAAAGTCTACTTTTCCCGACTCCGATATATTTTGTAGGTACCGCCTTAGATGATAACTTTACAAATTGTACAGCAACGGACCTTTGCATAATACTAATCGGACTACCCGAATCAAAAAGAGGGATAATCTTTATAAAACCTGACCATCTGCTTCGATTTAATTCACAAAAGGCCACACTTACCTCTTGCTTATCTCTCACATAGTAATAGTCATCAGCGGAAATGGCAGCAACACGGGTGAGATGGTCCTTCTTCCTAGGGCAATCTTTGTGCATATGTCCTAACTGGTGGCACGTGAAACACGAACCTGCGGTTTGTTGTGGCTTTGGGCAGTTACTCTGGTAGTGGCCAAATCGCGAACAGTTGAAGCAGCGCACTGTAGTCAAATCATCAGTTGCCACTGCCTTAGGGCCCTTTGCTTCAATACGTGACGCCGCAGTGGACAGTGGTTTACGTGACGTAGAGTTGTGGCGGCGTTGTTCGTAGCGTTCAATTCGCCGTACGAGTTCCCTCACGGAATCAGCACCGTAAAGGATGCTGATGTTGTTGCTACTATCAGGGATCCCATCAATGATGATGTCAACTAACTCCGGCTCCAAAATTTCTGCCTGTGCGGCTATCGACTGCATTTCGACGACATAGCTAATGCAGGATTCTGAGGGTTTGAGTTTGCGTGACCGTATTTGACGATAAACCTCTTGCCTCGAGCAATTGCGTCGGAACATAGCACACAATGACGACTTCAGTGCAGAATAGTCCATAAGCCCCTGATTCAGGATAAATTCCTTTGCCGTTCCGGTCATGCACCGCCGCAGTGCTAGACACTTATGTCTTTCGCTATAGCTATTGGCATCAGCGTAGTCCTCGAACTGTAAAAACCATCTATTAATATCGTAGTGGTTATCGCCACTAAACTTCGGAACTGCCGCATCGAGTTCATCAAAATGGATGTATTTGCCTAGGCGAACGCTCGAGTGAGTTTGCATCTATTGCAACTGACCTTGAAGTTCCATGACTTCGCGGCGCAGTTTTAAGACCCTTATTTGCTGCTCCAACTGGTTGGTTTCCCCAAAAGGAGATATAGCAACTGAGGCGAAATCGGAGCCAGTATTATAAGCAGATGTTCCGGCGCCATAATATACAGCAGTACCGGGAGCAGCCGGTGCGGTGGCAGCGGTAGTTTCGGGCGCGGTTTCAGCGGAACCGCCATCAGTCGGAGTTTCAGGTACAGCGGTAGCACGCAAATCGGGAACAGCAACATCATGTACAGCGGCGGCGGGAACGGCAGATAAAGTGGCGGCGGGATCACAAGGCGTTATGGCAGCGGATAAAGCGGCAGCAGGAGCACTAGGTGCAGCAAAAGCAATAGGTCCAGCAGGAACACTAGGCACACCAGGAGCAATAGGTGCGGCAGAAGCACTAGGTGCAGCAGTAGCACTAGGTGCGGCAACAGCGGCGACGTCATGTATGGTGGCAGCGGATATGTCAGGTACCACACTGGTACTAGTTTCGGAAACTTTAGATGCATTTGTGGTGGCTGAATTTATCAGATGTGGCTCAATGGTTACGCTAGAAAGTGAGCCCGTCTCGTTGCTGCGCTTCGGATCGCTGCTAACTCCCAATATCTTCCCAGTGGCACGCGTTGAACGCATTTCTTCAATTTTCGTGGTTATTTCGAAGTTGATGATTAAATAATGTGACAAACAATTAGCGGGTAGCACCCCACATCTGAGGCTGCAAAGCTTACTTTTATAATGTAAAGATGGTTTACGATCTTCGTTGATTTATTTCTTAATTTAATGATTTGTTACGTCTTGTCCTTATTGCTGACACCGGAAGAGAGAGCGATCAGCAAGGTTGGCTGCTCTTTCGGTACCGGACGTTTTGTATATCTTATTTCTAAAAATTACAGCTACCGGGTGATACATATAAACTTATTTTAAAAATTTAAGAATACAAGTAACATTACAGCATATATATATATATATATATATTTTTTTTTTTTTGTAACTTCTATTTTATTGGTTCGAATAACTAAAATCAAGTTTCGTTTTTCTTTAATTCAGAAAGTGCAAAGAAACCAATATAAGCTTTAGTTCACGTTTTCCGCATTTGCTTGATTTTCTTTTTGTGGTTTCCTTTACCCACGTGTAATAACTTTTTATGGTTTTCAAAAAATAGGTGAATTTTGAATTCATGATTTGACTTTACTTTCTTTATACCGAATAACTTAATTTTAAGCTCACTCTCGTTTCACTGCGCTTATTAAAAATTTTTATTTCACTTTTAAACACCTTTTTTTTGCACATTTAGTAACTTTCCGCGATTACTATGAGGTGATCCGTCGTACTACTGATACTATTCCTAGTACCGACATGCTAGGCTAGTACTTTTATGTATGAGCGAATTTAGGTATATGCGTATGTAAGGTTTTCTTCCCCCCACACAGGCTCTTCTCCGGGATGCTGGTACCACCATCGAAGGAGTGGACAAAGTGAGTGAGTACTTGTTTTGATTTTATTTTTATTCATGCATATTTCTGTACATGCTTATGGTTTGAACAGTTATTACATACGTATGTACATACTCAAATGATTTTGTTATTGTATATATATATAAGTATATATGTATATACATATTCATATATATGTATTTATATATATATGAGCAAAAATTACAATTTAATGAAAGATTTGCGAGTAGAAAACCAGTTTTAGCAAGATTGTTGTTGTTTTTCTATGCAGGGATAAGTTTAGGGTTCGATTAAGTAAATCATATTTGCTTTTCTTGCATGTTCCCTTTTGGGAATCTTCGTTTATTTTTATTTTTTGAATTAGTTGATTTATATTGTTAATAATACCTGTCTAATTATGTACATATGCTTATGAATGGATACTTATGTACGTATATACATAGCAATTGGATATTTGTGCGTTGTTCTCAGGAAAGAAGTTTAATTTAAGTTGAGCTCAGGGCTTTGTATCTAAGACTGAATTGTTAATAAAGGAAGAAAAATATGAAGTTCGGATGAGAGTGTTATTATGGAAATGAGGCTCTAATTTATTAATTTTAGTGTGTGTGTGTGTTGCGCTCGCGCGCAACAGGAGACATGGGGCAATGACGGACAATAAGACTGATTGACATAGGAGGACGTGATGACTGACCAACGGACTTAGTCAGGTTAAGGGGGCGTTGTAAGGTCAGAGGAGTCAACACAACGCCCATGGTTTCGCGTTGACTGGACGCCGAAGAGGGTGGGTAGACTCCGCCTGACAGGACTGGACCTTGCGTTTTCTGCTATCTTTTTGTCATCGAGTTTTTTATTTTTGCGTATTCCTTTATAAATTATTCGGCATGACCTTTAATTGTTAGTGTAGCGTAGGCAAGGCGAGTGTGCAATGACCCACCCCAACCGATGAGCTCTACCAGGAACCACCAGCATGCCGACGTGCCACAAGACCGTGCCACAAACCTACTGTTACACTACACACTCCTTGATTTCGATGGCACTTCCAGCGTACACTTCAGAACACACTGGAGATTGCGATAGGTCCAAAATTATGTTGTGGAGCAAGCTGTGCCTTAGTAAGTTGCCATCAATCAAATTACACAGCCCTTCCTTGACCAGAACTCAAAGCATTTAAAGACTAATGTACTGTGAAACGCCAACCTGGTACATGTCGCCGTTCACATCAGAACACGGTAAAAGTTTCACAAACTTATTTACGGTTCTTTTCTTGTTCTTTTGCAGGAAACTGTCAAAGTGTAAGAAAAGAGCGGTAACTTCAAGCAACAACAAAACCGAAGAAAAATAATACCAACAAAAAAAACGCATATAAAAGAAATATAAATTTAAAGAGCCACTGTGTGCCAAACAAGAAGAATTTGATTACATTATCGTACTGTGCTATAAAAATATTTAGTGCGTATCCCGTGCCATGATTCTGTTACACAAATAATTAATTAAAGAAAAAATTTACATTTACTCTTGTATTGAAATGGACGCCTTAACAACCAAAGTTGTGAGCTCAATGTCGGTGTTAGGAGGCTTGAGGTACGACTTAGTGGTATCGAAAGCAACGGTGTCGCTCTGGAATCTAGGCTAGGAAGGATTGAGTCTAATAGCGGATTTCTAGACCAAAATCTGGGTAGGATGATGATAGGTAGCGTAGAACAGGCTAGCATGAGAACGCAACCGCAAGGGGTGCCGGCAGCGGTGCGAACACCACAATCGGAGCAAGACTTGAGGGATATTGGCAGAGTCCCTGATTGTGTGGAGGAGTTGCAAGTTTTTGAGGGTAGTCTTTCTCAATACATCTCGTGGGTTCGCAACGTCGAGGGCATTTTCACTGACTACGAAGTAGTGAAATAAAAGCCTTTGTATCGCGCAAACCTCCAGCATGTAAGGCAAAAAATTCGGGGTGGAGCGGATGCAGCCTTGGTTGAGTATAACGTTTTTGAGAGTGACTGGATAGAGATAAAAAGAGTCCTTTCGCTTCACTACGTCGACAAGAGGGATATTCGAACTCTCGAACATCAACTTAGTCAGTTAGCTCAAGGGAATTCGAAATTGGATGAACTCTACGCGACTGTTAACCACCAACTGTCGCTCATTGTAAACAAAATTAAGTGTTACGAGTACTCACAGGAGACAGTATCAGTCCTTGTGGAAACATATCGAAACAGAGCTCTAGATGTATTCATCCGGGGTTTGAGTCCTGAGTTGTCTCGCATGCTCATCGTAACTACAAAAACCAAAAACATTGCCAGAAGCTTACTCAGCTTGCCTGGACATTCAGAATTTAACGTTGCGGAATACGATAGTTCACACAGGCTCAATGAAGAGAGTCGTTCTCCCAACGAATATCTTATCAACACAGAGGCCACCGCTACCGCCACGTGCACGCTCGAGTTATAACTGGGTGAACAGGAATCACACTTCGGAACTTACAACAGGCTCCGGGTCAACCAAGGAACGAGTTCATTACTTCCAGCCATACCAACTGCCCCTAAATCCGTCGAGAAAATGGAAGTTGACGGTAGTGCCCAAACGAGGCA